GTTTGCACTGATACCTCACCAGACAAGCACTCTGACCAGTGCATTTGACCATCGACTCGTGTGGCCACTAGCGCTCTACACAGAACATGAGCACGAGCATTACAGCTATTAATAAAATATAATACCAACTGAACAGCCAGATCTACTTAAAATACATTCACTGGAATAAATATCACATAGAAAATGTATACTATGCATGAAATATACATATATATTAAATATAAATGTATTGACTTCTTATGAGTTATGCGATTGTGAGCTGGAAGCAGCTGGTATGGCAGCAGATGAGCTTGTGTAAGATGACGTTGGCAGCAGAAAAGCAAACAGAGTGCAGATCACATTAGGCTTTAGTGCTCTGCCCTGACTCTAAGCCCTGCCATAACAAGAAACTTCCCATGACTCACTGGAAAATGAAGAAACATAAGCAGCCTTGTGTAAATTAGGGTGGATGAAGGAAGGAATAAAACGTTGAGAGTAGGGATGTCAACGATTAATCGATGATCGGTTAATTGTCGATAAGAGATGAAATCGATTAAAGCTATCGATGGTCGATTAAGTCGTTTAATTCATTAATTTAGTGCATTAAAATAGAAACAACACAAAGTTCTTCAACATGGAAAGCAATAGAAATGTAGCAACTAAGTCATTTCCCCAGATAATTCTTTCATATCGGGCTCTGCGCTTTGCAGGGCTGCGGGACACAGGACAGATAGGCTATTCATTCCTACAACTTGTTAATTCGTTCCTACGACTTGTTAATTTGTGGCCACTGTCCATGTTTCATTAATTTTGTTCCTTAACCCATGATTGAACTAAAATGAGGGAACAAATTAATAAATCGAACGAATTCTTAATTCATGGACATGAACTCTTTCATTTCCCTTAGATGCGAAAACAGTGATAAAAAGTGAATGACAATAAAACAAACCTGCGAAATTAGAGGGTTAGACGGTGAGGATTTAGGAAAAGAAACAATGCCTAAATATTATTGAATTTGTGGAAATTCGGGGTTTTTTTTTTTTTAGTAACTTTTGCACATCCTGTCATGCCGGGCTGCATAGACGCATTTTGCAGCATTAAGGTTAACGATTAATCGATTAATTGATCGTTAATTTAAACGACGATCGATCATGGAAATGATCGAACACTGACATCCCTAGCTGAGAGAGAAGATCCTTTAATGTGCATCCTTTCATGCATGTCTTCAACTCAGTGTATTTCTGTATAAACTTGCCCACTCAATGCAATACAACAACAGCTAGATTATTTTCCAGTTCTGGAGAAAAGAGTGGTTGTGCAAAACTCACAACAGCAATGCTAGGATGTTGTGGGTGGTTTGTAGGTTGTTGTTTACAGGCCCAAATCGATAGAGCCCACCTCAAACATCTATGACATACTGGTCTCTAGATTTGACTCTATTCCCACTTTTCAGTAAGTATATGTACCTGTAAACACAGCTTTGTCTCTATAGCTTAAGATCATCTACCTGCCATTACTTATGCACTATATTCTCAACCATGTAGTGAATGAATTATATAAGGTTATTTTGTCATTCATAATCAGAGTCTGATAGCCGCTCCCCCTTTACTACATAATTAAAGCTGCGACAGTTGAGTGCATGAAGTGTCCAACATTCCACACTTCGTTTTTCCGGTTATTTAAGTGCATCATCTGGGTGTTTAAAGTGCACTTTTTCTTTTTGGAATTTTCAGTGTAAACGCACTACTCGCACTGTTTATACTACACAATGTTATAGAATAGTGCATAAGTACACGATTTGGGACGCACCTATACTTTTCTGTTCATCATCTCAATAAATGAATCAGCATTACAAACACAAGATCTCAGGCCAGACAAGTGAATACACAGATTTGTAACATGAATCTGAAATGGAGATTCATAAATATAAATCTGCAAACAATGCATAAAGCCCATGTGCTGATCCCTGTGATCATAAAAAAAGTGTCAGGGCACAATAAACAATTGAAAGAATTTTGTCCAAAAACGTAAATTTGCTAAAAATGTGCTCATCCTCAGGCCATCCAAGATGTTGATGTTGTTTGTTTCTTCATCAGATTTGGAGAAATGTAGCATTGCATCAGTGTCTCAGCAATGGATGCTCTGCAGTGAATGGGTGCCGTCAGAATGAGAGTCCAAACAGCTGATAAAAACATCACAATAACCCACACCACTCCAGTCCATCGATTAACATCCTGAGAAGCAAAAAGCTGCGTGTTTGTAAGAAACAAATTCATCATATATTCATCATTCAAACCTTTAAACAATTGCTTCTGGCCAAAATAATGCTTCCTCCAGTGAAAAAGTCCATCTCCTGCTGTCCTTCACATCAAAATCCACCCACATATTTGTTTAAAGCTGTTTTGGCTTGTAAACGGTGCTTGATCTGTGCAGATTTCTCTCCTGATTCAAATTGTTTCCGGCTAAAATATGAGTCCAAAATCCATAATAACACTTCCTCCAGTGAAAAAGTCCATCTCCTGCTGTCCTTCACATCAAAATCCACCCACATATTTGTTTAAAGCTGTTTTGGCTTGTAAACAGTGCTTGATCTTTGCATATTTCTCTCCCGATTCAGATGAGATTACCTTTTCACTGGAGGAAACATTATTATGAATTATTAACTCGTATTTTAGCTGGAAGCAAAATTTAAAAGTTAAAAACGTCTTGATGGATTTGTTTCTTACAAACACGCAGCTTTTGGCTTCACTAGACATTAACTGATGGACTGGAGTGGTGTGGATTACTTGTGGATTATTGTGATGTTTTTATCAGCTGTTTGGACTCTCATTCTGACGGCACCCATTCACTGCAGAGCATCCATTGCTGAGACACTGATGCAATGCTACATTTCTCCAAATCTGAAGAAGAAACAAACTCATGTACATCTTGGATGGCATGAGATTTTATTTTTTTTTGTGAACTATACCTTTAATGACCTTTTTTAATAAATTTGGTTGTATTGATTGCTGCCAAGAAAGCATAGATATTAAATGTACATGTATTTTGGGGTGAACTATCCCATATAGGATGAATCTGCTTGCCTTGGCACTCCAGGGATGATTTTAGGATGTGCAATAACTGGGGATGCTCCGATCCGCCTTTTTCGCCTCCGATACCGATTCCGATACCTAGGGTTCGGTATTGGCCGATACCGATACCAGTGAAGTTTTTTTCCCTGTAAAATGTTACACATTGCTATTTGTATTATTATAAAATCCATTCCTTAAAAACATTCATGAATGTATTTATATATAAATATATACTATAAAATGAAAATACATTTCTTTTAAATGTATAGCATATTTTTTAATAAGGCAACAACATAGAGAGAGGAACTGAATCCACAGGGTTGGTAGTGAAAAAGTGATCATAACACCTGAACTATAATATGAACAACAGACTTAAAAAAAAAAAAAAGAGAAAGAAACTCTGACTGGATGATTGTTTGACAGGAACAATTACAAAACTATCAAATGAGGGAAGTTCTGAAAGCAATTTCAGCTTTGCAGGAACACTCCACTGTTACAAAATACACCGATTACTCAGCACAAGCCCAGTTACACAGACGGGGGAAAAACAACACCTGAACGATGTGAAAAACAGAGATGTGGTTCTTTACCACCCACTCTTTCCATCTCCACTATTTACAGTCAAACACAAGTTTGCAGCCACAGGGTAGCAGTGTCAGAAATGAGACCAGATCTAAACACACTTCCTGTGAAGTCAAGCCAACAGCATTAGCGCTAGCACAACCTTTAGACGAACAAACAAGATAAGATATATTAGCCGTTTACTTTTTATATCCAAATCTTATCTAGTCTTCTAATATTATCTGTAAATCAAAATAAGGAAATATTACAGTGTACATACCATAATTAAACCATTAGCTTCAACTGAGCTTCAAAAAAGCTTATATTAGATAGTTTTCGATACACTGGGGTGTAGATGCGCATTAGTCTATAATTCAATTACATTTTTAAAAATCATTAGTTATCCACCTAAATAACTCAAAACCATCACATATGGCTAATGTAAAACTTTCTTGCAACATAACTGTTCAATTACACAACAGATGTTACATTGTATTCTTCTACATTGGGCTTTAACTGTTACTGTACTGAATAAAAACCAGCTTCATTAAAAGTGTAAAGTACCTATATATATATATATATATATACAGTGGGTATGGAAAGTTCTTGACTACAATTAACAACAAATACAAAAATCCAATTAACAACAAAAGAGTGCCTGTACATAATGTTCAAGAAATCTTAACATAATAAATGCTTGCTTTAACACATTTTAAATCATATACGGAGGCGATATTGTTGTTTCATTCAAAACTTAATTATATTAGAAAACAAACACAGATATTTGACAGCTACACATTAGGCCTAATAATATATCATATGACAGATGAACAACAGATTAATTCACTACAGGGAAATTCTGCCTGCATATTTAGATATTTAAAGCAGTTTGTCATTTTTTGGTTTATGTTTGTATTAAGTCAACAAGTCAGATTAAAGTCCACGAGTGAAGTTACCGTCAAACTCTCTGCAATGCTATTAAAGCGCGTCGCTTGTGACAGCTGTTGCAGAAACGCATTACACAACTGTCAGAAAGCAAACTAAACAAATAAACGAATCAACAGACTATATAAACAAAAACAACCCGCAATCACGAGGAGCCGCGCGCGCTTCCCTCCAAAAAGACTTTTAAAAAGAAAACCGTTAAATTAACTCTTTATTCGCGCCCTCGATAACGTCATCTAACGTTACACAAATAAAACAGATGACATATTACAATACATAAATGGTTTAATTCAAGCGAAACGCTGACCTGTGCCTTTATTAAATTCACTTTAATTCGTTGCTTAAATGATTTAATTAGCCAGACCTTCCTCGCTAGTCTTACTAATGAGACTTACCAGAACAGCAAAGCAATGAAGCTGAGGAAAGAGTTTAAACGGCTCGTACCAGCTGCTGTCGGATCCAGCGGATCATCCTGCCTGAGCTAGCGCAGTGAGCTAGCCCGCTCCAGCGACACAGATCCCCGCAGCAGCAACACAACCGCTTCCCCGGCGCGTCCTCCTCTCCGCATTACAGGGCAAACGAGCGAGCACCGCGCACGCAAAGCCCCCGGCCCATTCTGCTGCTCGAACCCAATGCGGCGAAGTGGAAACACAAGCACACACACCGACTGCGCTTCACGGAGACGACTTCTGACTGACAACATCCCGGAAGTGACGTCACCGCGGCCGGGAGCATCACACCCGCCACAGGCATTCCTCGCTGTGCTGATGCGTTAACCAGTGGTGTGATGTAATTGGGGAGAATCTGTACTTGAGTTTTAATATTTCTGTCAACTTTCACCTTACGAAAATTAACCATGGTTTTATAACAAACTCAAAAGTGTAGTAACCTTTATTTTTTTTTGGCGTATTGATTACCATTTGTGTAACTACAGTTTTACTACAAATACTACACATTTACTACAAATACCATGGTTAAACTATGGTTAGCATAGAAAAAGCATGGTACATTTGTGCTTAACATTTATTTGTAGTAAAACCATGGTTAATTTTCGTAAGGGCATTTCCTAGATTAAAATGGAAACTTTTACTCCGATACATTTCCCCGAAGTTGAAGCATATTCGTTACTTACTACAAAATAAAGTCAGAAAAACACAGACAGCATGAAAACAGGTTTGAGGAAGCTAGCGCTTGCAAGTTAAAACTTTTTTTTTTTTTTAATAATGCTTCATTGTCAACAAATAGCATGCACAATACCACATCCCATAGTATAACATGAAAACATTTCACATGCATCATAAACAAGTTAAGACTCCTACAAAACGACTTTGCACATGTGCAAACATGCTTGCACAACCGCGAACTATTTCATTTTCCACTGCGGTGTGTGATATTATACAGTATATCATCTGCGATAATATGGTAAATGTTGTTTTAACGATGTGCGCGATCTGACATTATCGAGTAAATCACAAAAAACAAACAAAAACACAAAGAGTGCAGGCATACACCACATGACTTAGTCTATTAAAACGCATTTAGAATGATCACAATTCAAGGCATTCTAAATTGTAGACAGCAAAAATGCCTCTTTATGTCTTTTATATTTATATAATTTAAGATAGTTAATCTACATCACACGAAGAGTGCCGTGTTTTTCTCCCGAAAGAATCAGCCGTTTGAATGAATCGGTTGAATCTCAATGACTCACTCATTAACAGTGACTTGCTGCCACCTACTGGCGGCTTTAATTTCACATTTCAACAATTTTTCATGTTTTAAATCATTTCATATATCAGTATTAAACGTTTTGTTTAAAACAAAGCATTATTTATGCATTTGTAACTGCACGATAAATGCATCCGAGTCCCCTCTGAGCTGCATTAAACTGTGTAAATGAATCTAAATATCACTTCAGATGCAGATGACAGAAATGTTTTCTTATGTTGGAATGAAATAGACTAAGTACCGGATGAAGTGGCTCTTATGCTAACCCAAAGATACAAAATGGAAGAAAGAATTAAAACTGAACACAATCTTCCTGCTCAAACTGTATAAACATTTATTTATTTATTTTTAATTTGCTCCTTTTCCATTTTGCAATTACTTGTACTTTTACTTTCAATACTTAAGTATGTTTAATATTTAAAAAATACGTTTCATACTTACGTACAATAAATATCACATACTTTAAAACTTTTGCTCAAGTAATATTCTAAACGATGACTTCAACTTCTACCAAAGAAATTTTCTGGTAAGAAATCTGTACTTTTACTTCAGTACTTCATCCACTACTGGTGATAACTTACAAAGAATCACAGTTTTATTGACTGAAATACAGACACTGACATTCCTGACACAGTCATCATCACGTAATCCTCACTTTAAGAGAATAGCTCAGCCAGAAATTAAGATTATCTCATCATTTACTCATCCTCAGGTCCTTCCACTCCCATTTGATTTTCTGTGGAATGCAAAACAATAAGCTGGAAAAGGACAAATAAAAACATTAATAATGCTATTAATTAAGCATAAAAAAAATACATTTATTAATTTATGATTCACAGGGGATAAAATAAAAGCACACAGGTTTGGAATGGAATGAGGGTGAGTATACAGTGGGTACGGAAAGTATTCAGACCCCCTTCAATTTTTCACTCTTTGTTATATTGCAGCCATTTGCTAAAATCATTTAAGTTAATTTTTTTTCGAATACTTTCCGTACCCACTGTATATATTTTCTTCTAAAAGGGTAAACAACTCAATAAGTGTAATTCATTTGCTCTGCAATCAAAACTCTTTTGGAAGAATTGCAAATTACGAATGGGAAGAAGGAATTCAATGAATTCGATTTGTCTTTTTTGGTGAGTACAGGTGCATCTCAATAAATTAGAATGTCGTGGAAAAGTTCATTTATTTTAATTCAACTCAAATTGTGAAACTCTTGTATTAAATAAATTCAATGCACACAGACTGAAGTAGTTTAAGTCTTTGGTTCTTTTAATTGTGATGATTTTGGCT